TTAAAAATTCAAAAAAAAAAAAAAAAAAATGGACAACTTGACGAAACATCGATTAAGAAATATGACAGGAAAACGCTGATTGCTTTCTATTTTGGTTATCGACTTTAAAACTTCCTTTTTCGCTCTCTCTTTCTCTCTCTTTTGTGACTTAATTCCATTGTATAAGTTAAACTTTAATATAACGAGCATTGTGAAAATAGGGAAGAGAATTAGTTAAATTTTGAGGACTGCTATTTCGCGATTGAATCAATAGAACAAACGTTCGACGACGACGGAAACTCTCGGCAAAAGAGCGTATACTGCAAGTTGGACGTCGCGACCGGCTCGAGATCTCTTGTCGCGCGACCGCGACGCGGAATTTAAATAAGCGGCCGCGCGTTAGCACTTACGTCGTTACGTGGGCGCTAACTCATTTGCGTGCGTTTCCATTAGCGGTTGCGGCCCACGGAAATCGCGTTAGTGAATTTCACTTGCCGGCTCAATTCGATTCGCATTACGCTCCATTTCATTATCGGCGACCCCGCGTGTGTGGGAGATAAAAAAGAGACAGAGAAAGAGACGTGACAAGAGAGAGAAAGAGAAATAATTCAGCCCCCTCGAGCGAAAGATAAGGTCTTAAGTAGCAACTGATTAAATCTCGGGACATATGCGAGCCGATCAATGGGTACAACCCCTTGGTTGTCTCTCCTCTTTCTCTCGCGATCGTTTCTCTCCATCCCCTTCTTGTAGCTCCTCAGTTGGTCGAATGGACGAGGGGGAGAGGGGGGAGAGGTAAGAGAGAGAAAGACCGAGTCGTTCAGTTTGTGCGGTGCTGATACGCTGTAATGCCGTCCCGCGGGAACTCACTCCCTCTCGCCATCTCGTAAGGGCTCGCTCTACAACGCGGGGTACTACCCGTGTTCCGTCGGCTCGGCTGGGCGATGCAAAAACACTTGAATTAATCGGCCCCAGGTCCCGAAGGAACCTGCAAAAGGTCAATAGGATCGGGTCGGCGGGCTGGATGCGCACTTATCTCGATGCACATGCGACGAGGGTGCACGCGCGGAGTTCGCCGCGCGCGATAACCGATCGCGCCCCATCGTCGTCGGTCCAAGCATATGTCGCGACTCCTCGAATTGGCGACTGAGCACGATGTAATCTGATATCTTCGCGCGCACGGCGGATGATTAGCAAAATTAATGGCATTTTTGAAGACAAACCGGACTGTCTTTAAATTATAAGGACGATAGATAATATGTAATATTTGTCTCGAATTATTTAACATTATAGATATCATGAAATCTTATCAGTCTCCTTTAATCAATTAAAATTGTGCGAAAATTTCTAGTAGCAAAACTAGAGTGTATGAGGATTAGTTATTTATATCATTATCAATCGTACTGAATTCTACGAAAGATAATTTAAATTCAGTGCACACACACAATGTACTATATGTAAAGCTGAAACAATACATTCCATACAAAATATATAACGTGAATATATCCTATCTAAAAAAAGGCATGTAAAGTCGATACTCGAAAGTCTCGAAGTGTATTGTTGTCGCTTTTCCGCGATGCTGATTGGTTCTGTCATTGCGCTTACTTCGTGAGCGGCTGTCATTGCATATTTTGACAGTTATTATTTTGTGTATATATCGTTAAAAATGTTTAATGAAAAAGAATAAATAGCGCGCGCGAAGCGCGCGTTGTGTTGTGCTAGTGATTGAGAAATACGAGATAAATTTTTATGATCTCTCATAATTTAAAATCAAAGACGTTAATCAGATTTAAAGATTTTTAATCGCTCTTTTTCAAAAATTTGAGATGCTTTGATGTGCTTATCTGTATTGTGTTTCGAATTTATTCGTGTATTCTATTGTCACTTTAGTTATGAATTTGATTATAAATCTATATGTAGCTTATTTATTTTTATTATATATTTTGTCATCGATTTAATTGTTAAATGACCAAGCGCACGCGCTTGAAGGGATGCAATTCCGGAATAAATAATCCGCTGAATAAATAACGCCGATAATAACAACAACAACATTAACTCACCGATTAATGGAAGAGACGGATGGCACGTTGTCCTGCGAGCAAATTCCTTCGGCCAGCAATCTGTCCCTAATCTCCCACGCAAACATGGTCGGATTGTCCCTCTTGTAATTAGCGATCGCGTCGACCACCGGCGGCGTCGCTACCTTCGGCTTGGAGCCTCCTATGACGCCGGCTTTGAAGCTACCAGTCTCGTAATACCTATAATGTAAGATTACAATATAACATTACAATCAGTTTTATATCTCATGAGAGAATCGCGCGAAGTATAAAGGAAGCCCTCTTTAATCGGCTTTAAAGACAATTCGACGCGTTTGAAAGCGCGGTGCCGACAAGAGATCAGTCGCACCAAAGTTCGCAGTTTGTTTGCTCTCTCTTTCTCGTTCTTTCGCTCTATCGTGAAACATGGAATCGCCAAGAGCGGGGGAAAAAGAGAGAGCAACGAACGTTTTTCCCGCGGTGGGCGGCCAACGTCGGAATAACGAATCGCCGTCCAGCGGCGCGTCAACGACCGGCTGTTCTTTCCCTCTTTCTCTACCCTTTGGACTTCTCGTCGCTTCTCTCCCACCGACCGGGTATATACGCGAGATGGGCGATCGCGATTGGCCCGCCGTGAACGCGCCCTTTGTGCCTAATTAGTTAAATAATATCTTCGCTCGTGCTTAAATTCAATTACGCCGGATAGTCCGCAATAATGGTCCGCTTGTGGGCCGCCTTGATGGATGTGGGTCCGCCGCCGGCGTCGGCGTTGGCGTCGGCTCATACGCACGTTGGATATCTGGCCAATTTTGCGTACGTATCTCTACGCGCGCGTATGCGCTGTGCAAAACACGTTTTTTTTTTGGCGAAAAATATTTGCGCGAATAAAAGCGCCGTAACAGGTTTTTTACGTTGCATGTCACAGGAAAAATGGGGCTCGGATTGTTGAGTCGAATTATAGTCCTCCACGACACCGCGTCCTTTGTGCGCGTTTTTGATTGTTGTAGAGAGGAACGCGTATATATTTTAACTATAATAAAATTGCAACATGTTTCTTATTATATGTATATCACCGAACAAACTCCTCTGTTATTTTATGATAAAAAAATTCAAATTCCGATTATTTCATTGTTATACGATTATCAGATTCTGTTGCGAGTGCGAGTGCTATTTTGTCGAAATAGAATAATCGGTCGGTAGCTAAAAGCATTATGCGAGCCATAAACGGTCTCAAATAGACTTGGGTCCCGCACTGCCCCCGCGAAATTATTGCGATCATATCTGGTGTGTAAAGCCCCATTCGAGGCCCACATGGCAATGCTTACCCGTTGATATTTCGTTCCCCTTTGTTCCGCCTCCACCGTGAAATGGCCATTAGATCGCGCGATTTTTCAAATCGACCTTTGCCACCGCCCGGTGTGTTACTCACCCTTGCTGTATTAATTCCGATTTAAATGGATTCGAAACAGTCTTGCGCGAAATCGAAAACGCCACCTCCGTGGAAGAACAGCATTATTTACGCCCGTCGTTACGTGGCTGTCGTAATGCCTCGTACGGATCTTTCACATTAACGTTACGGCAAAAAGCACAGCGTTAATCAACGATAATCGGCGACTGTAGTCAGAATAATATCATTTTAAAAGGCACATCTCGATATGCTGATATAAAAATAATTTTAATAAATTAACAAAATAAATCTGAGAATTTGCATTAATATTTCAGAGTTTTGTAAACTGAGAAATAGATATTTTAATCTTTGTTTTTTTTTTATATAAAATATGTATACAAAAAAGTAATAAATAAAAATGCTCCATAACAGAGTTAGTGCTTGAAACACCAGCTTTTATGTTATATTTAATGTCGCTAAATCGTAAAAGTGTCGACATATCTCTCACACGTCGAAATGATTTCTAAACTACTTTAATATTATATGTAAAACAGATTTTAAAAAATGTCAAGTTATTCAATCGCTGATCACTCATGTCAGACATTTGTAACATCACGATACGAACAGGAAAACGACATGTCGCCACGTTTGCGCGTCGATGAAGGACGTTTTGCAGGATCCGAGTCATAACCAGCTTTACATAGTCCTCAGAATCCGCGGCGTGTCTAGAATACAGAAGCGGATTCGCGGAGACGTGCCACAAAGGCCGACGAGACGAGCGCGACCCTAAAGAGGAATAGCACTTTGTGTTTCTCGTGACAGACACTCGCGCGACAGAGCCAGGAAAGATCTTTCGCGAGGGAGACGACGACTCGATTTTGTGTCGGGGTCGCCGCCGATGCCCGCGCCTTTCAACGCCATCCCCGTCGGCGGATTTTACGAACCCTCAGCTAGAGTCGAAAGAGAATCCCGGTATCCGGTTTCGTCCTAGATTCGGCGAACGGCGTTCTCGTCGTATCAGCGACGCGTGACCGCGTAAAGTCGCACAGTCGCCGTTAACGTTTGTCGCGTCGTCGACAGGCCCTTAAAAGGCCGTTTTCGCCGTATCTTCGGACCATAAAGTCACACATCCACACGCGGAAGAACACCGCGTATTTAGCTGGAACGAAAGCCAAGTCTTCGACCAAGTCTACGTTTAAATTTAGCAACTGCGTAAAAGCAAGACCTGGAGACGCCTGTGTCGAACAGAGTCGCACGATTCTTGTGACGCAATCCTTCCGGTGTCGAGATCCGCGAAGTTTAGATTTCATTCTAAAATTCAATCTCTCTAATATTTTGACGCGCGCAGGAATAAAATTCGATTGACGGATCGCTCCGCATTTTTGTTAATGACAAAGTCTCGTTTCTCCGAATACAATCGTCGCTCGGGAAAGGGCCCGAGCCGGGAAGAAAGGAAGAGGAAACGGTAACTTTAGTCGCGGCAGTAAATAATCCAGTCGGCCTTTATTATGCGGGATTCGTGAAAGAGCGCGATATATGACAATGATATTCGGCCGTGGGGGACGCGAATGACGTTCGGGCCATCAAAGCGGCACGAGGCCACCCGTTACATAGCGGAGCGGAGGGAACCGGAGAGGAGGGTGGAAAAAACATGGAAACCGCATATCGTCGGGCAACTCTGCGCGTCGCGAGAGTGAAGGGGGCCGGTTCCTTCCTTCCGGCCCCTCATCGTCTCTCCCTTCATCATCCCCCTTTCCCCCCCCCCCCCCACCCGATCCGTTTGCCTCGCGGTCCTAACAGCGTCTTTAATTAAATCACTTCGGGAAGCGAGAAAGCGGTCTCGGTTTTTTTGCTCCCGCATCTCTTCTTCTCATCCGCGAATCGAGAACGACCTTGGCCACTCCGCGGCGCGGAAATTGCGGTGTTGCGTTTGGCAAGAGAGGACGAGCTTGATTCTCTCGTAAATCACTCGCCCTTCGACGACATTGTTTGTGCTTGTTACCCGCTCTCCGAACTTGGCAAACGCGATTTTCTGAGACGATTCCCGTATCCCGCCGAAATACATTTTAGTCGACGAATTCGTGGATACATTATTCAAATAAATAGATCGTCTCTTTACAATGAAACGTTTAACTTTGCAATCCTGAACTGTGAGAGATCTGATTTTCTTGAGAAATTTGCGCGCTCGGATTAACAATGTCGCTCATCTCGCGCGTCCATTCGCGTCGCGCCGAGATACTCGACGGGCGGCGGGCGGCCGCGATTTTAACGGATACGGATAGAGAGGTACGGTGGTGGTACTCACCTCGACAGTATCTTGGATACACAGCCGTGAGATACCCTGAGTTGTCTCGAAATGTCGCACGGTCGGACGCCGCTGTGCGCGAGTTCGACGATCCTCTGCCTGACTACATCCGGTAGGGGCCTTCCGTTCACAAAGACGCCGCCGAGCTGGTTGACTCCGCCGTGACCTGGAAAAACGAGGATCGATAATGTATATTAATCGAGCGTAATCGAGCGAGGCTTAAACTCGCAAATAAAAATACTTGCAAATATATAATTCATGTCGTGTATAGGTAAAACGCGTCATCCGTATCAGTAATATATCGTCTGTTTATTTTTACAGAAATGGCAACATCTTGCTGTTAAACGTCATGTTGAATACCGGTGGCATGGATTTAAAAGATTCGATCGTGTCGTGAACGATTCGCCGTGAAATCGCGGCGTTAAACGCGATTTGCGTGTGAATCGGGCTTCGCGCGCGCGCTAAATCGACGATCGTTAAAGGAAGCTGGCAGAACGGATCGCGAATGCCAATGTTAAATCTTCTCTCGAATAGTCTTTATCGCCACAGAATCATTCCACTTGACAGATTTTGCGGAGGAATGTTATACCGTTGGCCAGCGAGACTTTCTATCGAGAGAATGATTTGTCTCTCTCACGCTTTAGTAGTTTTAAATATATACAGGTGTTCGGAAAGTAACATCTATTTCAAATCATAAAAAGAAACATTTATCAAATATTATTAGCAAATTTTCTTCTTCAGAGGTATATCACCAGGAGAATTGAAGAAGGTTTTCGATAACAAGATTAGACAAGTTAAGGCTTCTGTGTTTGCATGCTCGTGAAAGTCATTTCCAACATCTTATTTGATTTATAAATTACAATTTTTTATATTATGAATCATATTTTATTTTTTTGAGAAATGGGGAAAGAATATATATTAGATCATAAAGTTATATATACATTAAATGTAAACGTATAAATATATATATACATTTGATGTATGTATAATTGATGATCTGATAATTACATAGTAATATAATGAAGCGCGCGATCAAGGACGCATCAGAATACATCGTGAACGGAACATAAACTTTAATATTTCTGCCGGCTAATCATTTTCACTGAGCCATTCGCAGAAACGTTCCAGGATCAATGCTGAGCATTCATTATTATTAGTTTACTCCCCGCTGCCACTCGAGTTTCTGTCGTACATCGTCGCAGGCTTCATTTTCGCGCATTAAAGCCGCCTAACGCGATAACTCGGAGCCAATATCGTAATGGAGGGTTCTGCGCCGCGACATATGTCCCCCTGTTCGTGCCAGTGCACCGATGATTCGATGATCATCGTTGTTTTCGGCGAACCCTCGACGAGACGAAGAGTTAGTTAAATCGGCCACGCTGTCACTCTTATCGCCCGAATATTCTCCTTCTTCGACACTTGTTCTGGCAAATACATTTCTATCAGGATGAGCGATTCGCGAGCGCTCAGAATATAAAGAATTATTAATATTATTCGAGATAGAATGGAATAAATAACAATGTATTTTTCGGAATTTAAAAGGCGATTACGTCATGTTTTGATTACATCGAATACGAAACTTTGCCCGACGTAAAGTTAATTCGAAGAAACGAACGAGCTACAGAGAATCATCGCGCGCTCGCGCGTTTGCGTTTCTATCCGAGGGGGATTTCGTAATTACGGTAACACCGCGATCCATGAGGCGTGAACCGCAACATTTTTTTCGCCGTTCAGCCGTATATATCGCGCCGCTCGATGATATCTCGTCGTCGCACGAAGACAATGAGGTCTCCGCGATCATTACTGGAAACGATACGCGCCTTCCGGTCGCAAATCAATTCGCTCTCGCGTTTATGGTCGCGTCCCCCGCGGCGCGGCCGGTAGTCAGGGGGATAGTCGTCGGCATCATGGTGGCATTGCCAGGGCGAGAGAGCACCATGACTACCCTACTACACACGCACACACGCCGTCACGCCTGCTGACCACAGCTATACGCGAGGGCTCCGGCCTGGACCACCCCCGAATCGTTCTAGCTACTGCTACCACTATTACTACTACTGCTACTGCTACTACTGCTACTGGATTTTGCTGCCGTCGCTGGAAACTGGCCGCCGTATTACCGGAGCTTATTGCCATCCGCTCCGTTCCGCACTTCTGGGATACATCGAATCAAGAGATGCAACTCAGAGTCTCAACTAATCCCATGTAATTGCGCTCCTATTGTTTCTATTGTGTCTATACGCAATCCTTCCTTCACGTAACGTAATATTATATACAAAATTATGGAATCTATAAAGGAAAAGAGATTTCTTCAAAAGAGACATCATGGTAATGAAAACTCTAAACGAGTTTTTTCGACTTTGACTATCTCGAAAAAAAAGAGTAATGATTCTTATTGTGGTTTTACTCGATTCGAAGCGTTTTAACGGAAATCTCAATGATGAAGCGTCGCTTGTGATAGGACGATCTCGGCGATTCGCACGCAATTTCGTCGAACTGTATCCAAGTTCGTGACTCGATCAAATTGGATTTACAGTTTTATCGGAGAAAGCCGATAGCGCATCTGTTAATCAATCGCGATTCGAACTGTCAGCATATAAAAACGTCGATGCAAAATCAGGTGACCTGGCTGAGCGCCGAGCTGCTGCGGATTACTTCCGGACAAATGCGATTCCCGCCATTACGTTTTCATTAGAAATGTGCCGTGTCTTAAGCTGCGCTAACAATATCTTTGAAATCTCGCCGCATTCCGAAGTCCCGATCTCGTTTCCGTTATCTCTCGAATCTTTCATCTCAAAGCCGATTCCTTTAGATAAATATTATCTATGACGGTAAAAAAATATTTATACATGAGTGCTTGCACGCTTTCTCGAGCGAGCGGAATTATTTGGGGCTCGTTAATTGCAAAAATATGTAGATTAACTCTTTCAGATACATCTGTTAAGAAAAAAAATTTAAACTCTTTATATATGGGAAATTTTTTTGACTTGCACGTATATCCGCGCGCAGTCTCCCCCTGTTCCACTTTTGTGCGCTTGCAATCGAGAATGGAGGACCGGTCCAAGATAGTTTCAGAGCCAATAAAATGAGGACCGGTGATACACGATCACGGCGGCTCGTCGGCTACGTGTGTATATCGGAGAAGCCAGAAGAACTTTGATATAGATTCCCATACAGTCACTCGATATTTCTCCAGCATCGCGCTGCTTTGTTCCCGTATTACATTACGCCTTGACGTTATGTATTGCCGAGCGCGCCTGAATACGACGGACTTTATTACCCGATGGCTAGAAAAATACGCTGGGAAATGTAATTCGCCGGTGCGAGCCGTCTCGGAATTTTACGACGTTAGTCGTAATCAAATCGATTTACATCGTAATTGAAAAGCGCATTAATAACCCGTTTCGGTGATGATTATGATAAAAATTTTTCTGTTGAACATGCGCAAACTATCTAAAGATACAGTATATCGGATGATGAATAGAAATTACAGTGTGTGTCCTTAAATTTTTTAAATTAAGTATTTTTTTTGTAGGTATTTAATAAAATAATTCTTTTTAAATAATGCAATAAAAAGATACGCAACACATTACAAACAATTTTATGATGCGCAAACGGAGATTGTCGTCTTTCTGTTAATGTCTCATAGTTAGTAATATTTCATTAGATTTAACGGACCAGCTGCGCACCGTAAATGGAATGCGATTTTGATTGCTACAACTTTAAAACGACACTCGAACACGTCTAATTAATACGGTCGGACCGTTAAATGGACGGAAACGCCCGTGGATCGGCAAACTCGTTATTTTCACGTAATATCCTGGACAAAATTACAACGATAAGCTCTTACATGTGAAGAGAACTATATATATAAATAAATTATAATTATATTTAGTCGATATAAAATTTATTAAGCTCGCATAGAGAAGAACCAGGTTGATTATATTGCAGATACTAAATCGGATGCGCAACATTTCTCTCTACCAGTTTAGAGAAAGAGAGAGAGAGAGAGATCGTCGCGAGTAGCTCCTACGCAGATTGTCGACACCGTAAATGGAATGCGATTTTGATTGCTACAACTTTAAAACGACACTCGAACACGTCTAATTAATACGGTCGGACCGTTAAATGGACGGAAACGCCCGTGGATCGGCAAACTCGTTATTTTCACGTAATATCCTGGACAAAATTACAACGATAAGCTCTTACATGTGAAGAGAACTATATATATAAATAAATTATAATTATATTTAGTCGATATAAAATTTATTAAGCTCGCATAGAGAAGAACCAGGTTGATTATATTGCAGATACTAAATCGGATGCGCAACATTTCTCTCTACCAGTTTAGAGAAAGGGAGAGAGAGATCGTCGCGAGTAGCTCCTACGCAGATTATCGGTCGCGATATGATTGCGGTTTAGTTTTTCGTTGGTACCGGTACCGCTACGGCTCGGTTAGCGATCGAAGGCCATTAGTAGACGTCGCTGGATTCGTGATGCTTTTCCGTTCATCCCGTTTGCTCCACTTAATCGACGCACCGTCGGCAAACTCGAAGAGAAATCGCGCGATCACGAGAGAAGCGTTTCGCACGCGGAAACATTTTTTGCATTAATTATCGTAAAATTTGCTGACAATATATCGAACTTATGGCGCGGTTTTGCGATTGTCTCGCGCTAGAAGAAATATAAAACGTGGAGAACCGAGACAGAGTTGAAAAAGACTTTCGATATATGAAGAGAAAAAGACTGCTTACAAGGCTAGATCCATTTATATTTAGATATACTTATTAAAATCACTATGATTGCCGCTTGAGACGCAAATGATTGTTAATGTGAGTTAAAAATATATCCGATTAAATATTTATCGCGATCTCTTTATATTCAGTAGAGATTGGCAACAAGATAATAATCAAAAAGCAGGATTGAATGAAACAATGAAGCCGTAAAGATCAATCTTAAATCGACAACAGGTAATCCAATTTGAAATATCAGATTTGCGCGATTATTCAACGTGCCGATTGATGACGGAGCGGAAAAAGAGATAAAAGTAAAAACATAGCGATAATTAAGAGACGCTTAAAATATACATGATTAAATGTCTTACAGGTGTAATATTCCATCATGTTCTGATTGTATCGGTAGGCACTACTCAGGGTAGTGCTGAGG